CCTTAAAAGTCATTAATGAGACGAACAATAAACTAGTTATGGGATAGGATCTTCCCTAGTCTGAAAAGCTAGTGTCTAGAAACGATGATTAAATTATATTGCCTAATTATATGTGCTTGTGTGTCTATCTAAAACGCGTTTTAAATATAATTGTCTGTGTTGTACGAAGGGTATTTCGCTCGCGGATAGCCGGGGACGTGTGAGTGCGGATGTGAAACATCTGGAAGTGAGGGTATTAAAATGAAGATAGGCTAGAGTGTAGCCTTGGTATTGGATGGGTTGCGGGTGGATGTTTAGGTGTGTATGCGTGTGAGCGTTGATGGATACAGATGTAAGAGTGTAGTTGCGGCTGTGGGTCTCAGTGTGGATTCATTCTTCATTCACACTCGACTCGTTGACCCTCTTCCTACTTCTACGCCGTCACCGACATCTCAACCCTATACTGACCTGTCTCTTCTGTTGTATTGTCACTTCCTATAGTGTTTAATCTTTGATTAAAATATAAACTGATTGAAATTCATATTGAGCATAAGAGACTGAGTCCAATAGCAAATATTAAAACTATCCGATATCTGGTGATCGCCGTTACTGGATATCTCTTTATTTGATCAACTAAGTCATACATTTGACTTTATACTTCGTACCCTTTTCGGTCCTATGATGATATGTGCTGCCACTCTAAGCACATGGTTTCATTATTTGCAAAAAAAACTCTGACTGACTTTATTGGATTCGTTCTGAACAAATTATAAATCTATTTTCAGATTAACCCTTTACGAATCAGTTTGTTTTTTTACAGAAAAAATCTAAACAGTAATATTCGAAGAATGTATACATTATTTAAGAAAAAAACTTTATACTTGCGAAACGATGATTAATCGAATAGCTTTAAAAGATAACGACATGAATGCTGTTTTTTCAATGTATAGAGTTTCTTTTGTTAGTAGAAATACTCATCTTAAACGAATTGTCTTGCTATGCGCACTGATATAATAATATGATTCGCATAAACGGTTAACCGAGAAATAATAAAAATAAATCGCTAGTCTATCGAATATTTCGATTAATTTTGTTGATAATTGATTCATAATCTCCCTTTAACATGTCTAAGTTCATAAGTTTTCCACGAAATCCAGATATTGAAATAGTATGATCAGTCGGTTTTACTCCTCCTTCCCCTCTAGTGATATTTTATGTCAACTTCGGGGCTGCCATCCCCTCCTAACTGATCACGAGAGTTCCAAAGTTTCTTAGGTGAAAAAATCGATGTAGGGTAATTTCTTCGTTCAATTACAAAATCATTAAAATCAGAAGTGACCAAAATAGTCGATCGAGTAGTGATCTTTTTTGATTAACTTTTGATTAATCAGTAATCAAAATAGTGTGATTAGAATCGAATACGAACAGATTATTTGATTATGTGAGGGAAATCTTTTACATGAAATAACGGGGTGTGGGTGTGGGTGTGTGGGTGTGTGGGTGTGGGTGTGGGTATGGGTGTGGGAGTGTGGGTGTGGGTGTGTGGGTGTGGGTGCGGGTGTGGGGGTGTGGGTGCGTGGGTGTGTGGATGTGAGCGTGGGTGTGGATGTGGGCGTGTGTTCCAATCCTCCCTTTACTCAGACCCACACCCACACCCACACCCACCCCACCCCACCCCACCCCACCCACACCC